CACCCACACATGCGAAATGGACACTTTCAACGGGAATCACTTCAACTTGGATATTGACTTGATTTCTCTTGTACTTATTCCGCACCTCGAAGCGTCCATAAGGTATACAATCAAAGAGTGCATTACATCAGTCCACCAGGAATATGGCCATACCATTACGAAAAGAAAGGCATTTCTCGGGCGCAAACGAGCATTTGAAATTGTCTACGGTAATTGGGATAAGTCATTTGCATCTCTGCCAAAGTACATGGCCGCACTGCAGCACTTTAACCCCGGGACAGTTGTTGAATGGAAGCTTGAGCAGAGTCCGGGAACACCAGAATACATATTCAATTACGTGTTCTGGGCGTTTAAGCCAGCAATTGATGGTTTTTCGCATTGCCGGCCAGTAATATCCATAGACGGAACTCATGTCTATGGAAAGTACGATATTAAGCTATTGATAGACGTGGCAGTGGATGCTAATGGACATATATTTCCTCTAGCTTTTGCTGTTTGTGCCAATGAAAGCATAGAGACGTGGACGCTATTTTTGAACCACCTGAAAGAGCACGTTGTCAAACAGCGTTCAGGTATTTGTCTAATATCTGATCGGCACGGTGGTATATTAAGTTTTGTGGAGAACTTGCCTGCATGGCAAGAACCTTATGCATACCACCGTTACTGTGTGAGGCAGTTTAAGGCCAATTTCCAGAAGGCACATCCCAACAAGGATCTACATGATTTGATGTGGATGGCATTAACAGACCACCAACAGCATAAATTCCGGAGGCATATGGATTATATCAGGTAAGAAGACGAGGCAGCATATCGTTGGTTAATGCGACATGACCCTGAAAAGTGGACGTTGCATGCGGATGGTGGCAGACGATGGGGAATTCTTACTACAAACGTGTCAGAGTCCTTCAACGGGTTATTGAAGTCGGCAAGAGGATTGCCCGTCACATCCATGGTGCGAATGTCGTTCAAGCAGATGGCAGAGAGGTTTGTTTAACGGTCTGCAACTGCAACGGAATTGATGGAGAGGGGTTTTGAATTTATGCCAGTGCCTATGAAGAGATTTGAGAAATACAGACGGTGAGCACATTGGCATTCATTTTTGCAGTATGATAACGAAAGAGGTGTTTTTGAAGTTCGCACCGCTATCCATAATAATCGGGGTAATAATGTACATACTGTAAATGAATCTGTAAGGTTATGCTCCTGTGGGAAATGGTCCATCTACCACATGCCTTGCTCACATGCCATCAAGTGTTTTCAACGTGTTGGTTATGCGGAGACCAACTATGTTGATCAACAATATAGTGTTTCCAAGTACCTAAACACATATAGTGGTCAGTTGCAGCCAGTGGGTGCTGAGCATTATTGGCCTCCGGAACCATTTAAAATGGTGTGTAACAAGTCCTATTTGCGTAAAAGACAGGTGCAGAAGAGAACACGTATACGGAACCAAATGGATGTTAGTGACACCGTTTATGCGCGCAAATGTGGTATATGCTCGCAAACAGGACACGACCGTCGTAAATGTCCTTCAGCTGGTTTGGGTGGAAAAACTAATCAAGCTCATGGTGGGTGTTCTTCTAGTGTACCTAACTACCTATGAGTTGATGTTGTAATAGTTAGTTGTTATGTCTATGTTGCAAGATTTATGAAATAAAATTATGCTTGTTAACTATGATTTGTACTTTCCCATTTTACCTATTTAAATAATAATTTAATAAAATTATCTGAATATTTATTATGTGTGTGTTGTCTTGTCGAACTAAAAAAGCTGACCAAGTGACATAAAGTTGTCTTGTCAACATCATAATATTTAACACGCAAAGTATAGCGCCATTAGATCGTACGTTATGTGTGTGTTGTCTTGTTGAACTGAAAAAGCTGACCAACTGACATAAAGTTGTCTTGTCAATATCATGATATTTAACACGCAAAGTATAGCGCCATTAGATAGTACGTTATGTGTGTGTTGTCTTGTCGAACTGAAAAAGCTGACCAGCTGACATAAGGTTGTCTTGTCAACATCATGATATTTAACACGCAAAGCATAGCGCCATTAGATAGTACGTTATGTGTGTGTTGTCTTGTCGAACTGAAAAAGCTGACCAGATGAGATAAAGTTATCTTGTCAACATCATGATATTTAACACGCAAATTATAGCGCCATTAGATAGTACGTTATGTGTGTGTTGTCTTGTCGAACTGAAAAAGCTGACCAACTGACATAAAGTTGTCTTGTCAACATAATAATATTTAACACGCAAAGTATAGCGCCATTAGATAGTACGTTATGTGTGTGTTGTCTCGCCTATAAATAACGGGCTCATTGTAGTTATGTTGTGTGCTCAAAATTTACTAAAAGCAAATATTTTATTAAAAGTAAGGTTTTTTTACTAAAAGCAAATATTACACAAATGGCTCAATCTCTTCGTCCACCAAAGTGCAACTATGGAAAAGCATGATTGATGCAAAATTATTGGGATGGTGGTGAAGTTGGACGCCGCTACTGGCACTGTATGAACCCGTTTTACAAGGTTCCCGACGAACCTATTTGTGATTTTCAGGAATGGGTTGATGAACCATGTTATTAGGAATGTTACAGAGAACAACTACAGTTTCTTCATAATATGTGTTTAAGACAACGGGAACATGAAAAAGAAAGCAATAGAATTATTGCAAACTTAAGGGCGAACCTGAAGGAGGTGGGAGAAGAAAAATGGAAAACACAATGGAATTGTGAAGCACAAAAGGATCGAAAAAAAAATATAAACTGGAACTTGCGGAGGTGAAGGCGAAACTGAAAGAGGTAGAAGAAGAAAAAGAACAACTGGAAGAACGATTTAAGTGGTTGGATTGGAGAATAAATAGCAACCGGGGCTAAACATTGGCATGTATGTGTTTAGTGTATTTTTCATATTTCATGTATTTTTATTATGTTGGCCTGCTATGTTTGTGTTTGTGATTGTGTTTGTGCTGTAGTAATGTTTTCCTTGTTTGTTGTACTAAATTTTATTTTAATTGAAGTAGAAGTTAAGTTTAAGTGCTTGTGTTGTACTAAATTTTATTTTAATTGAAGTGGAAGTTAAGTTTAAGTGCTTGTGTTGTACTAAATTTTATTTTATGAAACTATCAAACGAATGGAGAATTAAAAAAAGTAATGCGCATATTCGATTAAATATTGTTGTTAATGTATAAAAAAATATTATTTACACCATGTCAATGTGTCCCGCATCCGGTTTGTCTCAATGCAGCTGCTGGCTTGAGGCGCATCCCCTCCCGCCCGGGTACGCTATCAGGATCATCATCATCAAGTTGTCTCCTTATAGTCGGATGCGGCACAGGATGACATGTATCGGTGGTGCTGTCAGCTCCAGTAGAAGGCTACACAATAATATGAAACTTAGTATAGAAAACTACATATCAATTCACAACAATTTATATTGTCTTACCATCATCGTCTCTAGATCCTGAATGTAGTCATCTGTCGCTGCATCGCATGAAGCCTTAAAAAGGAAATTAATAAAGTTAAAGAAAATAAATAAGTTACAATTAAAACAAATTAAAATTCAATACTAATAAACTCATACCTGTGCATGTGATGTGGAGTCATAACTCAGTGGCGCCCACTATAAAAATCTCGGGTCGGTCGATCCTCAACAGTGGTAGACGGGCCTGGG